CTGAGATTGCGTCACTGTACTCCAGGCTGGGTGACAAAGAGAGACTCCGCCAAATAAAAATAAAAATTAAGCCGGGCGCGGTGGCTCACGCCTGTAATCCCAGCACTTTGTGAGGCCGAGGCGGGTGGATCACGAGGTCAAGAGATCAAGACCATCCCGGTTAACATGGTGAAACCCTGTCTCTACTAAAAATACAAAAAATTAGCTGGGCATGGTAGCGCGTGCCTGTAGTCCCAGCTACTCAGGAGGCTGAGGCAGGAGAATTGCCTGAACCCAGGAGGCGGAGGTTGCGGTGAGCCGAGATCGCGCCATTGCACTCCAGCCTGGGTAACAAGAGCGAAATTCCGTCTCAAAAAAAAAAAAAATTAAAATTCCACTCTGGCCAAGCATGGTGGCTCATGCCTGTAATCCCAGCACTTTGGGAAGCCAAGGCAGGTGGATCGCCTGCGGTCAGGTGTTCGAGACCAGCTGCGGCCAACATGGTGAAATCCTGTCTCTACTAAAAATACAAAAATTAGCCAGGCATGGTGGTGGGCACCTGTAATCCCAACTACTCAGGTGGCTGAGACAGGAGAATTGCTTGAATCCTGAGACGGAGGTTGCAGTGAGCCAAGATCGCACCGTTGCACTCTAGCCTGGGCAACAGAGTGAGACTCCATCTCAAAAAAAAAAAAAAAAAGTTCCACTTCTAGGTTGGGCGTGCTGGTTAACACCAGTAATCCCAGCACTGTGGGAGATCAGGTAGGAGGGCTGCCTGAGCCCAGGAGTTCGAGACCTGCCACTGCACTCACTCCAGCCTGGGCAATATAGCAAGGCCTTGGCCCTAAAAATATTAAAAATAAGCCTGGACAACATGATAAAACCTTGTCTCTACAAAAAATACAAATATTAGTTGGGCCTGGTGGCACAACCCTATAGTCCCAGGTACTTGGGAGGCTGAGGTGAGAGTACTGCTTGAGCCCAGGAGGGAGAGGCTGCAGTGAGCCATGATGGCGCCACTGCATTCCAGCCTGGGTGACAGAGCAAGACCCTGTCTCAAAAAATAAATAGGCCAGGAGCAGTGGCTCATGCCTGAAATTCCAGTGCTTTGGGAGGCCGAGGAGGGAAGATCACAAGGTCAAGAGTTTGAGACCAGCCTGGCCAACATGGTGAAACTCCATCTCTACTAAAAATACAAAAAATTAGACGGGCATGGTGGCAGGCGCCTGTAATCCCAGCTACACAGGAGGCTGAGGCAGAAGAATCACTTGAGCCTGCTTGAATAATTAAATAAATAAATTATGTATTTATTTATTTATTTAAGACAGAGTCACGCTGTGTTGCCCAGGCTGGACTGCAGTGCCACGATCTCAGCTCACTGCATACTCTGCCTCCTGAGTTCAAGCAATCCTCCTGCCTCAGTCTCCGGAGTAGCTGGGATTATAGGCATGCGGCACCACGCCCAGCTAATTTTGTATTTTTAGTAGAGATGAGGTTTCTTAATGTTGATCAGGCTAATCTCGAACTCCAAACCTCAGGTGATCTGCCTGCCTCGGCCTCCCAAAGTGTTGGGATTACAGGTGCGACCCAGCCAAATAAAATTAATTTAAAAAAAGAGCAAAACATGTATGACAAATCAGTGCTATAGAGAAAAGCAAGTGAAGGGATATAGGGAGTATAGTGCTCAAGAAACTCCTCAGTGATAAGGAGACATTTGAACAGGGATGGAAGGAAATGAGAGAACAAGTTGCGGGGAGGGACAACTGTTGAAAGGAGTTCCAAGCAGTGTAACAGTTAAGTGCAAAGACTCTGAGACAGAAGCACTATTTTGTTTTGAAACTATCTACACTATAAATACTTTAATAACACTTTACAAATTTTACATTGAGTCAGTGATTATTTCACTTAGTGAAAAGATTCACCCAAATGTCAATAAACCTTTTCTTTGGTTCTAAATGAACCAAAACACAGGTTCAGTGGAATGAGAGACATCAGAGAATAATTCCTTCTTCTATCTTCTCCAAGGCAAGAGCCTTTCAGAAATGTTACCTCCTCATTCTTACTATATTCAAGCCTTATCTGAGATCTGTCTCCAAAATCAATATTCCGCCACAAGAAAGTCAAAGCAAAAAATATTTAAATGGAAGGGAGAGGGAGAAGCAATGTATTAAATGGAATGAAAGTAAATATACTAATAGAAAATTTACCTTAGGAAGAATATTTAAAAATCTAGGTGTTATAATTGAAAGAAATGTATGAAATATAAACAGCTAAGGATTACAGAAATAAAGGCCATGTAATAACTTTTCGACAGATTAGCAGTGTTTGCTGTTTGACAGTATTCCAAAACAGCAGTTTAATGGTTAAGCAAAAAAAAAAAGGCTTTATAGCCAGGTGTGGTGGTACACACCTGTAGTCTCACCTACTCAGAAGGCTGAGGCAAGAGAATCACTTGTATCTGGGAGGCTGAGGTTGCAGTGTGCTGAGATCACGCCACTGCACTCCAGCCTGGGCAACAGAGCTAGGCTCTGTCTCAGAAAAAAAAGGGGGGCTTTGAAGACTATTTTGATCATTTGTTTATCTTCCAAAAGCTAACTTGTGAAATACCCCAGGTCTCTATTACAAGATGTCAGTGTATATAACTAGACATGCAATGTCTATTTGAGGAATAAATGAATTTTAGATTTTCAGGAAGTATTTCTCCAATTTTTGTAGAGGCAAACCAACTCTTTCAAGTACTAATATTTAAAATTACTAATTACACACAAGTATATTTAGCCAAAATAATACCTAATTAGAGCAAAGTTATGATAGAAATGACCATGACTAAACCTTTAGCTTTTCTAGGCTTGTAAATGCATTACTATTTCATAAGCAAAATAATGTTCACCTTAACCCATGTCTACCACAAAGCAAATCAAAACAAAAAGTGATCCATTACTCCTTCCATAGTTTTGTAATGGTTCAAAATGGGAATTTGCTTCAACTCACAATTTTATATCCAAAAAAATCTAAGCTCCTCCCAAGGTGACTCTGAGTCTAAAAATTTGAACATGTAATCATCACTTAGTATGGTATAATAATGATCTCATTTACATATAAAATAGATTTATATGTAAATGTAAATAATACTCTCTCACCCAGGCTGGTGTGCAGTGGCACGATCTCAGCTCACTGCAACCTCTGACTTCCAGGTTCAAGCTATTCTCCTGCCTCAGCCTCCCCAGTAGCTGGGATTACAGGTGCCTGTATTTTTAGCAGAGATGGGGTTTCATTATGTTGGCCAGGCTGGTCTTGAACTCCTGACCTCTTGATCTCCCCACCTCAGCCTCCCAAAGTGCTGGGATTACAGGCATGAGTCACTGCGGCTGACCGATAGATTTAACATTCTGAAATAATTTACATTTAATTTGTCTAAACTGTGGATAATCTTGAACTGTGAGTTCCATGAGGGCAGGAATCTCTACTGTAGCCCTTTACATTGAAAAAGCCCAATTAGTAATATTCCTGCTGTTTCTGGTCAATGTAAACAATGTTTTTAAATTATTTACTTACCAGCTAAGAGAACCCGAAAATAGTTGAATTTCAAATTTAAAGTGTGATTTATTTTTCAGTTAATGGAGCAGTGACTCACACCTGTAATCCCAGCACTTTGGGAGGCCGAGGTGGGTGGATCACCTGAGGTCAGGAGTTCAAGACCATCCAGCTTGATCAACATGGTAAAAACCCTGTCTCTACTAAAAATACAGAAATTAGCCGGGTGTGGTGGCGCACGCTTGTAATCCCAGCTACTCGGGAGACTGAGGCAGGAGAATCGCTTGAACCCGGGAGGCAGAGGCTGCAGTGAGCCGAGATCGCACCATTGCACTCCAGCCTGGGCCACAAGAGCGGAACTCTGTCTTAAAAGAAAAAAAAAGTACACTAAAGTTCAGAAAAGCTGACAGATTCAGCAGTATGCCAAAAAGACAGTTACTAACTGGCAGAGAAGTTACAGCAGCCCTTTTAAGAAGGCTTTAAAATACTGATCATTAATACATAAAACTGCAAAGGTTTTCTTAGAAACAAAGAATGACGCTGGAAATAGTACAATAAATATCCATGCAATGAAAGCCGTTTTCCAAGGAGCGGTCTCCCCAAAATATGGGGAGGGGGGAACCAACCTTCAGAGAATGCAATATCTGAACTGATAGGGCACTCACACTTAACATTATCTCACCTGACTGTCACAACAACTCTACGGCGTAATTTTATGAATGGGAAAAAACTCAGGATCAAGAGGTTAAGTGACTGGCCCAAGGTCACTCAAGAAATCAGTGGTGCAGCTATACCTAGAAGGGTGCACTTCACCTGATCTTTCAACTACACAAGCCAGCTCCCCGACCGAAGCATTATGACAGTAGAAGAGCAGGGATCAGATTCTGCGAGTATCCCGCACTACCCCTCTCCTGCCAAGGAGGCGCGGGTTTGCCTTTGAAAGCCTTCCCTAGCAACTCGGCCAGAGAGGAGGAAGTTGTACCCGAGGGGCAGGCCACGGATCAGCCCAGCGAAGTGACAAGGATGACAGGCGCAGCCCCCAGTGAGCCAGTCGGCATTCCCAGGAACCCCTCCAAACCCGGCGACGGCGAAGACTGGTCTCGGAAACGTCTGAAAAACCTCCCATTAAGTTTCGCCCCCTCCTGAATCTAAGGAACGAGCTGGGAATGAGCCAGAGGGCGGCCGGCCACCCGAGCCGGCCATGTGCCCAACCCGTCACGCCCGCCTCGCCTCAGCCGGCTCCTCATGCCTAGACCGCAGCCAGAGGCCCAGCTCAGGATCCGAAGCAAAGGCAGCCTCGGCGGCAGCCGCCACCACCACACCACACCGAGGCGCCTCAGCCTGGAACTCGCCGTCAGATGTCCGCCCCACCCTCCTGTTGCGGCCCTCAACGACTCCGTCTGCGCCTCCGGCCAGGCCCCGAGGGCTCGGCCTGCCACCTCTGTCTGCCCGCCTGCCCGCCGCCACCGCTAGCCGGGCGTCCTTACTTCATTGAGCTGGCGCTCCGCGGCCTCACGCAGGGCTGGATCCATAGTGCCCCGCAGGGCCTCGATAATGGTGTTGGGGTCCATCGCAGCGCAGACTCGGTCAAACCCGGGGCTCTGGTGCTACTGGGCCAGTAATAGCGCCACTCACTGCGCACATGGACAAGCCGCGCTCCGCAGCGGCAACCGGCGCGAAAGGAAAGAGAAGCGCCAAGGCCCCGGATAGAACCTCTTCGCCTCGGCGTGGAGGCGGGAGATGCTCCAGCGACTTCCTGTGGACGCGCCCGCGGAGCACTTTGGGAGATGTAGTCCACAAACACAGTAGCAGCCCACGTGGCTATCTGAGCTATCGTTCCTACAGACAGGTCTTCCTACTCAAAAACGAAAAATGTTCAAATTCCACAGAAAGAAAAGTAAAACAATCAGCTACAAAAGGTTTCACATAATATATTCATAATTATCATAAAGGGAATCAGATACAGTGTGTGGTGCAATCCATTGCTAACGGTGCGTAATTGAAGGAAATTGAAAAGCAATTTTAGATGTGTTTCTTTCTCTTTTTTCCTTCTCTTTTTTATTTTTTTCTCTCTTTGAAACAGAGTCTCGCTGTGTCGCCCAGGCTGGAGTGCAGTGGCGCCATCTCGGCTCACTGCACCCTCTCCCTTCCGAGTTCAAGCAATTCTCCTGCCTCAGCCTCCCAAGTGTCTGGGACTACAGGTGCCTGCCACCACGCTCGGCTAATTTTTTTTTTTAGTAGAGACGGGATTTCATTATGTTGGCCAGGCTGGTCTTGAACTCCTGACCTCGTGATCTGCCCACCGCAACCTCCCAAAGTGCTGGGATTACAGGCGTGAGCCACCGCACCCCAGCCCGAGATGTGTTTCTAACTGTCATCAAAATGTTTAAACTCTGACCCAGTCACTCCATTTATGAGACTTTATCCTAAGGCAATAATACGGAATAATAAATGAGCTTTATGTGTGAGAAGTTTTTAAAATCACATTACATATTGGTAATTACCAAATACTGAAATTATGGCTTTTGATTGAGTATCCAAATTTTAGCTGGGACTTTATATAATCACCTCTTAATGCAGAGTAAAAGCATAAACCCTTTCAAAACTCACCTTCCTACCAGGGTGTAATCCACCCGCAGAAGCAGGAGGATTGCTTGAGACCAGGGGAATCAAGGTTGCAGCCTGTGAAGATCATGCTTGTGAATAGCCACTACACTACAGCCTGGGCTACGTGGCGAGACCCCATCTCTTCAAAAAAAAAAAAAAGAGGGAGGTGGGAAGGAAGGAAGGAAGGAAGGAGGAAAGGGGAGAAAGAGAAGAAATTATAGGTGTTACAGGTGTAAGACACTGCATCAGTACTTACTGCCAGTAAGTACTTTCTTTTTCTATATGGTTTCTTTTTTTTTTCACTCAGCATGTTTCTGAGATTATTTTCTTTCTTTTTTTGTTTTAAAGACAGGTTTTCATCATGTTGGTCAGGCTGATCTCGAACTTCTGACCTCATGATCCGCCTGCCTGGGCCTCCCAAAGTGCTGGGATTACAGGCATGAACCAGGGCACCTGGCCTGATTATTTTCATGATATTGAGTGAATCGGGAATTCCCTCCTTATTGGTAAATGGCAGTCCATTCACTTGATATACAATTATCTATTTGTTTACTGAAGGACATTTGGGTGGTTTTCAGCTTTTAGCTAATGTAAATAAAACTAATATGTATATTTGTGTATACAAGTGTTTGTGTGAATATATGCTTTCATTTCTCTGGACTGTCAAACTATTTTGCAAATTGGTTGTACAATTTTATATTCCCACCAGCAATTTATAAGCATTCTGTTGTGCCACACCTTCAACAATTGGAATTCTCAGTCTTTTTAAGTGTATCCAATGGAGAGGATATGTAGTGTTATGTCATTATTCACAGTGTGTATTTCTCTGATAACTGATGATGTTGAGCATGTTTTCATGTGCTTTTTGCCATTTGTATCATCTTTTGTAAAGTATCTGTTTCAACCTTTTGCCCATTTAAAAAACTATATTGTTGCCTTCCTGTTACTGAGTTGTTGGAAACTATTTTGTCAGGTTTCTTCATTGTGAATATTATCTTTCACTCTGTATCATGTATTTCCATTTTCTTTTTCCATTTTTTTTTTTTTTTTTTTGGATGGAGTCTCGCTCTGCCGCCAGGCTGGAGTGCAGTGGCATAATCTCAGCTCACTGCAACCTCCACCTCCCAGGTTCAAGTGATTCTCCTGCCTCAGCTTCCTGAGTAGCTGGGCCTACAGGTGCATGACACCATGCCCAGCTAATTTTTGTATTTTTAGTAGAGATGAGTTTTCACCATGTTGGCCAGAATGGTCTTGATCTCTTGACCTCCTTATCCGCCTGTCTCAGCCTCCCAAAGTGCTGAGGTTACAGGTTTGAGCCACTCTGCCTGGCCTTTCTTTTTTTTTTTTAGAGACGGAGTTTCGCTCTTGTTACCCAGGCTGGAGTGCAATGGCACAATCTCAGGTCACTGCAACCTCCACCTCCCAGGTTCAAGCGATTCTCCTGCCTCAGCCTCCCAAGTAGCTGGGATTACAGGCATCCGCCACCATGCCCGGTGAATTTTGTATTTTTAGTAGAGACAGGGTTTTACCATGTTGGCCAGGCTAGTTTCTGACTCCTGACCTCATATGATCCACCCACTAGAGCCTCCTAAAGTGTTGAGATTACAGGCATGAGCCACCTCACTTGGCCCCCATTTTTTAAATTGATCTTTCATAAAGTAATTCCCTATTTTGAAAAAGGATAATTTATCTATTGCTTTTTTATGGTTGTGCTTTTGTGTTCTATACAAGACACCTTTCTTATTCCAAGATTATACATGTTTCTGTTATGTTTTCTCCTAGAAGTTTTATAGTTTTAGCGTTTCTTTTTTGGTCTAGAATCTATTTTGAGTAAGTTTTTGTGTATGGTATGAGGTAAGGGTTTAAGTTAATTGTTTCTGCATATGAATATCCAGTTAGTACAGCACAATTTGTTCAAAAGTTTATCTTTTGACCACTGAATTATCTTAAGCCCTTTGTTGAAAACCAATTGACCAAATATGTGTAGATTTATGCCTGAACTGTATGCCTGAACTGATTGATTGATCTACTTATCTATCCTGGTACAATATCAAAATGTCTTGATTAATGTAGTTTTCTAGTATGTCTTTCTTTTTTTTCTTTTTCCTTTTTTTTTTTTTTTTTTTTTTTTTTTTTT